CTTCCTCCTCCTCCTCCTCCTCGTTCCTCCAAACCAACGGTTCTCAGGCGCCTGCCTCTTCAACTGCCTCTGTCTCCCTGGTTTCAGGGAGGAGCCCATTAAAGCTTATTGATGGGAATTGGGTGGTGTTAGAAATGAAAACTCGGGAATCTAAAAAAAATATTTGTTAGAATATATCCCCAGTACTACACATGTAAACATTTAAAACAACTTTAAAGAAAAACGAAAATGACTCTGTTTTCTAAAAACAAGAAAAGTGCCAATGGTTTTGCTCTCTTGCTCTCTGGCTTCATGGAAGACAGTGGGATTCCCATACTCGTTTCTGTCGGCGTTCCGTCTGACATGTCAGATAACTCATGCCCTGTGAGTAAATTCTTTAACAGTGGCGCCGCGGGAGAAACACGAGACTTTCTGCTCCTGTAACGAGTTATCGCCTCGAAAACAGGGCTGGCTCCTCCCACGACGGACACCACAATGGCAGTTCTACCCTGTCCTCTTGAGTCACTATGACTCGAATGATCTCTGTGGCAGTGAGTCGACAGTGACGCCGGAGGGCAGAGTAGAACTGTTCCAAGAGTCTCCATCTCACCTTTCTACAGTGGAGACACTGGTGGGTTTGAACTGGAACCCACTGCTTAACTCACCATGCCACTCTGTGCTTGTGAGAGGGGTGAAATACGCAAATTAAATCTTAAACTACAAACCAAAAAACCTCTAAACTCACTATTATCTGGTGGATTTCAACACCTAGCGACCTCGTAGCCTTAGTATGTACTGATGGTTTGCACTCAGCTGTTAATCTAATGGCTGTTTGAAACCGTGCCCATCGGCACAGTGGACATAAGGCCTGACGCCGGCCATAGTTTGTCAGTTTGAAGAAGCTCGGAGGGAATCTGAGAAGGAAGATTGGGTGTTCAATGTATATCCTTCTCAGTATTGCTTGAACAGAGGAGGGGGCCTTCAAAAAGTCCGTGGAAAAATTTCATTCTTCATTCCATTTTCCACGAACTTTTGGAAGCCTCCTCAGATGTCTGTGTGCAGTGTCACCATCATCAGTTTAATAATGAACTTAGTGCTTTGCTGCTTCCTTGGGCTCCAGGGTGTTTGCCTACTTTTGTTATTATTGGACATTGCATTTTGGCTGCAAAATGTAAACGTATTGCTTGTTCTGGGTGAGCAGTGCTTTTGTGAGTTTGCATGATTCTCCATGTGTTCTAGGAGCGGAGAGTGGATTTCTCATGGAAGTGTGTGTTGATTCCGTGGAGTCAGCTATGAATGCAGAAAGAGGAGGTAAGCGAACTTCAGAGAGATGAGTTACCAGCAACCCCTTTTAAGAGTCTTCAAATGAACCCTGTGGACTGACCTTGGGGACCCTTGTGATTTCCGAGGATCCTCGTAGCCCTTTTGAAAACGAACAACTAGAGATCCTGACGAGAAGCATCATGTCAGATGGCACAGCACTGGGCAGTGTTTCAGTCTGTTGTGTGCACAGGGTCACACTGGGTTGGGAACCTACTTGATCTCCCCTGGGAGATCACATTTTGAGTCATGTCTACTATAGTGATGGTAATCACTAATTTCATATACTATCTAACTTAGCAGAGATGTAACTTTTCAGATGATGATGGATTTAGAGTTCAGAGACTGGCTGCCATTTTCATCAGGACTTTTAACATTGTGTGTATGCACATAATTTGAGTATGTATAATTAGAGTATATATTTATAATTTGAAGGTTTGTGTGTGTTGGCCTCATTGGTGTTCTTTATTTCACCTCTCTAGTTTCTAATGTCCATTGCAATGGCTATATAGAATTCATAGGCAGAGTTCATGATTAAAGGGTTTTCTGGTTTTTTAAATCATTTTATTGGGTGCTTTTATAGCTCTTATAACCATACATCCATTGGGTCAAGCACATTTGTACATATGTTGCCATCATCATTCTTAAAACATTTTCTTTCGTTTCAAGCCCTAGTGTCAGCTTATTTTTCCCCTCCCTCCCCACCTCATGAACCCTTGATAATTCTTAATTTTTTTCATGTCTTATACTGACCACTGTCTCCCTTCACCCACTTTTCTGTTGTTTGTCCCCCTGGGGGTGGGGGGTTTAATACATCCATCATTGTGGTTGGTTCCCCCTTTCTTCCCCCACCTTCCCCCTAACCTCCTGGTATCACTACTCTCATTATTGGTCTGGAGGGTTTATCTGTCCTGAATTCCCTGTGTTGCAAGCGCTTATCTGTACCTGTGTACAAGCTTTGGTCTAGCCGGATTTGTAAGGTAGAATTGGGGTCATGATAATGGGGGGG